AAATCATGATCTCAATTATTGATAATATAATTTTATATATAAATATTTAAAAATAACGATTTATTGATTTTTAATATGAATTTATATAACCTTGATTGATATAAACAAAAAGAAGTAATAATAAAAAAATTAATCAATAATAAATATTTATAAAGAGAAAAACTATAATTATAAAGAACAATTAAAATTATCAATCAACAATAATTTTTTTTTACATTTTTTTTGTTTTTATGTCCGGAAATGATAGTATCAATGATTGTAAGTTGATTTGTATATGTGAAATGTTTGTATGCGAAGAAGTATTGATTAATTGATTGATTGATTAATTACCATGACAACAACAAGAAGAACTATGAATACTACTACTACTACTACTACTACTACTACTATCGGTACTACTGTAGTGAACAAGAACATAAGTGAGGACAATCGAATGTATTTGAATACGAAATTATAGAATATCTTAATAAAATTTGAGAACCATACGTTAAATAAAGATAGATAGTGGCTAGCAATGGAATCCAGAACGCGCGAAATTTCGTCCTATTTGGGACTCGTCAGCTGGATGTACCTGTATCTTAGAGTTGATGTTCACTCTGGGACACTCTGTACAATATCGAGGCAATACGCATAGTATGCACATATGTCAATAAGAGACTGATCAATTTCAGTCCTAAACATCAATGGAAAGATTCAAGTAAAATAATACCAAGTGATTCATACATTAAATAGTTAATTTGCCAAATATCAATCGATTGTCTCAAATTTGACTGTTTGTTTTGTAAATATCAATTCACCTTCTCAGATTTTATTGTTTCTACATTTTCTTTACAATTTACTTTCCATTCTAGTTCTTTCCTTCTTGATCTTCTACTGAAATATATTCCATTCCTGACTATCGTTATATATTACTTATGTGTATATAAGCAGCGCACATCACACTACTACTACTACTACTACTACTACTACTACTAGTACTGTTGTGATAGAAAACTTAGATGAGGACAATCCATTTAATTTTCATTATAAAATTACACACTATCTTTGTAAAAGATAAACATTATATATTAAATAATTCATTTGTACATTATCCATGAATTATCTCGTACGAACACTTCATTGTTCTTTCATTCTTGTTGTTATTACTATTACTCTCTGTATTTGCATTCCTGTTTTGCATTACTTAAGGTATGACATCAAGAAATGAAGTAATGTGTTTATATTTCTGTAATGGAATGTTGACATTATCATTCAAGAGATCAGATTTAATATATAATAGAACGACATATATTGACGTTAGATTATCCTTTATACTAATGACATTTTAACTAGTCTAATGGATATATTACCTTTAATACATTTAATACTAAAAGATTTTAGTTTCTTAAGTTCTTCTAATAAAACCGCCCCTAAATACCCTGGTACGGCCGAGCGTGGAGACAGTCCTCTCTCTCTCTCTCGAAATACTCTCACATGGCCATGAGTATATAGGCTCTGCCAGTGAAGTCCTACTCACTGCCTTCTCGTAGCATTACTGTTGTTGTTTGCGAAATTGAGAGGTCGAAAAGCGAATGTCAGTGGACACGGAGAGTTCACCTAGAGGAGTTGGAATACCATAATTCCAAGCCAATTGCGGATATGGCCTCCAGTATTCTGATGAACAAATGGCATATGATTCAATCGTTGGTCACCGGATACCATGGAACTGTATCTCCTTACGTCGCTCTATTGCCTTGTGGATCAGACCTTTAGGTCGAAGGCTTAGGGTGTGGCCCCCCTAAGAAAACAACCTGTTTCGGTTCGGGCACCTGGGTAGTATCATAACCATCACACAAATCAAATGACATTTGTGTGGCTCATATGTGTCTGGTGCCCCCTTCTACCAGTATTTATGTGTCCAAACAAACCTAATAAAACCAGACTAAATCTACACGACGATTTGAACAGGCGAGAAAAGGCGAGAAGTGTGAATAGAACGCTTTATTCTAAGATTAGTTTATGTACAAAAAATAAAGAGTGTTTATAATATTCCGGATAGCCTTGGGCTTCTGAGAGATTCTTGAAACTAACTAAACATAACATCAGGATAGTTAATCATCCAATCGGAAATGTGGCACATGACTTTTCACATTCTAGATGTTTCTAAGAAACTTCTATTCAACGCTGATTGCATAAGATTTTTGCCAGAGTTTTCAGAGCCTCTCTGAACTTCTTCAAGGAATACATTAGATCTCTCCAAAATTTAGTAAAGAAAAATCATGTACAATAAAAAAAACACGTACTGCAAATTCTATTTACTCATTTAATATACATTAAATAATCAATAAAATTATAAAAGGTAAACTTAATTCTTAGTTTTATATCCATGTGGTCATCAATAAAGAGTTTGCTAAACTCCTAAACTGATGGTAATTTTAAATCATGTGTAATATGATCATTATTAAAATATAAGACAAACATAACATTCATCAATGTTCAATGGTTAGACAATTGTAAAAACCTCATTTTCAAAAGAGACTACACACAAACCGGGATACCTCAGTGTAGTTGATCGGTGTGTGTTTGAATCCAATCATGAGCATTAGTTCAAGTATATCTTGTTGACAAGTGACAGTCAAGCAGGGTTTCTTAAAAATCCTTTTTCAAACATTTAAACTATTAAAACTATGTCTATTATTTTCAATAGTTGATATCATGAATGAATTGAAATTAGACAACCATGGAAAATCTAAAAGCATTGGACGACTGTTTCGTCCTATTATGGGATTCCTCGCAAGATTTGAACTCAGGACCTATCAGTCTCACATGAGAGCACTTAACCAACTAGACAAGGTCGTGAATGTGCACTTCTGAAAAGTCCCATAATAGAATGAAACGTTCATTTATTGCTTTCAAATTTTCTATGCTGGTCTAGTTTTAATTCATTCATCATCTTAACCATTGAATTTATTATACTACCCACAAAAACCATTCACTGATTATCATGTCTAACTCCGCCTGGATCCCCTTTCCGGGGGCTACTGCCGGTTCCAAGCCCGGATAAAGGAGGAGGGTTGGGCATGGGGTTAGCGACCCCATCCCGTAGAAAACTAACTCGCTAAAAAAAACGCTAACCAGAAAAAAAATTAGATTATCATGTCTATTATGTTGAATTACTTTTTTATAATCAGCTATATTATTAGATCGTTTATCAAAAGTCAATCAATCCATAAAAGACTAAACAAACATGATATTGGTTAATCAATCAATTGTATATAATACTATTAGTCAATAACATAAATGAATATAAAGTGAAGACATGTTTACATTAATTATAACTTGAACAAATGAATTCACTAAATGTATGATTCATTTCTATTATTGAATTAATAAAATTCATGTTATTGTTTTGTTTTTGTTTTAGAATGTTTATACAATAAATAGATTATATCTATAAAAGAGATTATAGAATGTATGTTTCGTCTTTCATTTAAGATTCATCAAGTGAATACTTCATTATGATAATATTAATCTTGATAGTGAAATTCAATGTTAGAACTATTCATTTCAAATATTAAAAACTTATTCATTGAATTAATGAGTTTAGATAAGTAATTGTTTTTTTGTTACAAGTAAGGTTAATTACTCTTACTCATTCTCTTTAACCCGTTGATCGATTGAAGACGTCAATATCTGGGGGGGGAAGCATGGGCGATAGTGGACAGCTAGGATGCAACTAAACGACTTAGACTTCACAGATGATCTGACTTTTCTATTGCACACTAGAAATAACAAATACAAGAGAAGACGATCAGTGTAGCAGCATTCTCAACAGCCGTAGATATCAACATACACAAAGGGAAAAACAAGATTCTTCAATACAATACAGAATACACCAATCGAATCATACTTCACAGAGAAGATTTGCAAGATGTAAAATCTTTTACATAACGGGGCAGTATCATTAATGAACATGGTGGATCTGATACAAATGTGAAGGCGCAAATCGGCAAAGAAAGAGTAGTATATCTACAGCCGAAGAACATATGGAACTTGAAACAACACAACCCAACCAACACCAAAGTCAGAATTTTCAATACAAATGCCAAAAATGTTCTACTGTATGGGGTGGAAACTTGGAGAAATGCGAAAACCATCATCTAGAACATTGAAGTGTTTATTAAGAGTTGTCTGTGCAAAATACTTCGGATCCTTTGACCGGATACTATCAGCAACAATCTACTGTGTAATAGAACAAACCGGATTCTGGTTGAGGAAAAAAAATAAGGAAGATGTACTCGAAGTGGATAGGACACACATTAAGGAAAGCATCCAACTACGTTACAAGGCAAACCTCCACATGGAATCCTGGAGGCCAAAGAAGGAGAGGAAGACCAAATAACACATTACGCCGAGAAATGGGACAGATATGCAGAAAATGAACAAAAATTGGACAGAACTAGAAAGGAATGAATAGGGCAGAGTGGGTTGCAGAATACTGATCGGCGACCTGTGCTCGATTGGGAGTAAGTAAGTTTGTTACGTGCATAATATTTATATCATTACCGGAAAAAATTCAAAGTATCCCATAGTTAATATCAAGAATTGAATTTTAATCAGTCATATTCAAAATATGTACATTCTTCGTAGATTACCTCTATATAGCCATTTTATCGTAATTTTCCATACAAAACAGACAGATTAACTATTGTTGTTGTTGTTCAGTTAAAGATGATCATTTCATCCTGCATTGATGAATTGTCAATTGGATCTATCTGGACTGTATTGTTGATACTCATACACCAAGATTCAAATCCAATATTCTGATTTATTTTTCTTTTAATTACAAATAAACAATAATAGTAATAATATCAAATGATATAAACAAATATTGAATGAGTTCCGTAAATGTGTATTTTGTTTGTTTACTTGTTTTATTCGAACTCAGTCAGTCAGTCAATCAGCCATCACGGTTTCACTCTGGTGATTTGTTGTATGATTCATTTCTTAAAAGATTTGCCATGTCATATACTTCAGCGGTCGATATTTCAAAAGTTTTTGACTCATTGTTTGATCAGGATGTTCATGAAAATATATTCGCTTTAGACATCGGTAATTCATTTGCGAAATTAGTATACAAACACGTCTTCCGGTATAGACCTTCTATACCCCAGCAATGTCGTAAAACTCTCAGTGAAAATGAAATACCTTTTGATTTTCATGAGTACGCAGAACAAGAAGATGAAGGACAAAAGCTATGTTTCATGAGATTTGAAACTAACAACATAGAAGAATGTTTGGATTTCATTCTTTTTAACATTACACATCAAGGTACTTTATCCAAAAAGACAATTAGTAAGATCAAGACGACTGGTGGGGGTGCTTATCGCTATCGTGAACTAATTTGCCCGAAGTTGAGAGTTGAATTAAATAAAGAAAATGAAATGGATTGTCTTGTAAGAGGATGTGTCATTACGTTTAGAAAAATCCCAGATGAGTTATTTTATGATGACAAACATGACACTCGAGCTCACGTCTTTGTTCCAAATTGCTTGGTGAGTACGTTCCCTTTCATTTTGGTCAATGTTAAATCTGCCGTTCGTTTCATGAAAGTTGAAAGTCCCACGTTTTACCAAAGGGTTGGTGGAATGTCTATTGGAGGTGATACTTTTTGGGGTCTATGAACGCTGTTATCTAAAGGAAAGTTTACTTTCAATGAGCTTCTGAAAATGGCGGATTCTGGTGACCACCGCAATGTTGATATTGTTGATACGCGATATATATGAAGGTGCGTATGAAACACTTGAACTTTCTGGGGATGTAATTGCGAGCTCATTTGGTTTAGTTGCTTGTCAGTCACATATATGCATCGGTTCAAGTTCAAAATAAAATAAAAATGTAAACAATCAACTTTATAATGAAATCCATAAGTATTTCGACACATTCATTGTTTTTTCTAATTTCAAAATACAACCTATCCAATTAAAGTTTGACCAGAAGTATTAAATCTTGACTTCAGGTTAACTGGTATCAGTTTGCAATGAAGATTTTGTCCAACAGAAACTTAAAGTACACTTCTATGTTTGAACCAACCATCGAATGGTATTCAATGTAGTATTTAAATTTGTAAAGATAATCTATAGCTTTTCAGTTAGGATATTATCTAAACATCGTTATCATTTCATTAACAGTTGAAATACATAATGATTTTACAATGTAACAGTATATACTGACATTGACGATCATGTTTATTGAACTGTGATATTAATCAACTATTTTCACTATGTATTATTCAGCTAGACGATTGTAGTTAATCAAAAGAATGCTATCTTTGATCAAGATCATTCGAATCTTGCTGTGATTGTGATTATCTTCAAAGTCCTCAATGTTTACTGCAAGCTATACCCTTAGCATGTTCATCTATTTCCTTATTCATTTAATGAAAAAAAGTGACCTTTATTAAAGTATAATTTACATTTACAACTTAATTTTAATCCTTAACAATTACTGTATTTAAGTTCTTTATCGAACATACAAGACTGTTTTACGCTGAACATGTTTTCTAAAACTCCTGTCAGTAAAACTGTAAATAATACATTTTGTGTACCGTCATCAACGCGCCCACACACACACACGCATACACAAGACATACGTCACTAATAGTGACTTTTGACTAATTCAAGTGTATGGCACTGAAACCAAATATTTAACAGTTGGATCAATTGAGTTACTGTTTCTTAGATTTCTACTTGAGTTAACTTGCCAAAAAATATTCATTGGAAGCACTGGACAGCCGTTTCATCCTACTGTAGGAGTCCTCAGCAGTGCGCATTCATGATCCCGCTCGTGGAATTTGAAACCGCGCGAACGCTGAACCTACTGGACCACTGAGCCAGCATCCAATGGTGTTAATGTTAATGCTAAATTATTAATTTTTTTCGAGAATAATAAAATTTTGCTTTCTTCCATGTATGTTACTCTCAATGACATCATAACATTATGTCACTAACATGAATAACACAGAAAACATTCCTTCCATTTTCGCTTCACTGTTTCTTCAATTGTTACAATAATAATAATAATAACATTTGTACTTTTATAGTTGAGATCAGGAGTCAATTAAAGCTAAACTACCAAGGAAAACGTGCAAGCAATGAACGGTCGTTTCGTTCTAGTATAGGACTCCTCAGCAGTTGAGAGATTGCAACCCAGGACCTATGAGTCCCGTGCACGAATGCTTAACCACTAGACCACTGAGCCGACCAACATCAAACGGTATTATTGTCTAACTTCAACCAATCCACGAACTTGAACCACCGTCCATGATTGTTTTCAATGAGTTACTATTTCACAACAGACTCGGTTGAACTCTATTGGTCACTGCTTCTCACTAGAACTCTAGGAAATATATCTTGAAGCCATTCACTAGTGCACATATGATTATTATTACTAAAAATAACTAAAGTCTCCACAAAACTCCCTTTTGATAATAATATTTTTGTTTATATATTGTGTCATATTCTAACATGATGCATCATATATTCTATGATATTAGTTAAATGTTTAAATCATTAGCTAATAAATTAGTTTTTCCTATTTAAACTAGTGAGTTCGAATCTTGCGAGGTAAAATCGTGGATGAGCACTTCTGAAGAGTCCTACAACAAGCGGAACAGCCGTCCTGTGCTTCCATATTTTCCATAGTGGTTTAGCTTTAATTGACTCATGAACTCAACTATTAAATTAGAAATAGATTAATAGTTTATGAAGAAATTTAGCTTCCATTAATAGAAGTTCTTAATATTCAATTATAAATGCCATCGAAGAATTGCTCATATAAGCTATACTCATCTAGAAAGTAATTCTTATGTTAAGAATTGATAAAAATCATAAATCTTTGTCAAGACATATTTTAAAAAATTGTCATCCACAATGATGATTGGTGTAAGAATAGATTGAAAAGAAGCTATAGGCGATCAAACTAAAACATGATATTATTCCATGTAGATAAATGTAAACTATACGGTTAAGATTCAGCTGATCATTGTAAACAGTGATTAAAAACGTTAAATGATATGGATCATAATTGTTTGCAATGGTAAGAAAAAAAAAAAAGGATTCAATCGATCTCTTCCATTTGATCACAAGTTCTTTATTGTCTTATCAATTCCTTTATCTTACAAATACATATTTCTTTTTTCAATCATACATCTGATGCTTAATCTTTTACATGACAACTTATACTGTTACTATTTCTACAATTCTGGGATTTTCCATTTGTTTATGACGTATGGCTACTCTGAACTGATATACATAAATGCTAGACACTATGTTGAGTATGAATGTGTAATATATGAACTAAAACGATACATTACTATCAACTTGGGATGACTCTTTATAGAATCTTGTTAAATTATGATTGATTTTTAACCAACCATACAATACAAGAAGATACATTTAAAAATGTGACATAGTTTTAACATAATGTATAAGTAGTCTTTAATGATGATTGAACTATATATATATATATATATATATATATATATATATATATATATATATATATATATATATATATATATATATATATATATATATTGATTAAGTTTCAAACTAACATTAAAATACAATACACTATGATGGTATATCATGTAGACTAGTGATCACATTCTATATTGATAGAGAGAATTCTATCAGTACTAATAGACTACACAAACATGATACTTCTTATCATTCAGTGGTACACAAATGTAAATTACTCAGTCTAATAAAAGATTATTAACTTCATGAATAATTCAGTGATAAGCTAATAGTTCAATTCAAATTAGTTTCACTAGGGTGTTTGAATAGGTTGTAGTAAATTAGATAATTTATATCGACATGAGTAAAATTTTACACTTTACATTACTAAGTAACCTTAATTAAATAACTATTAACAACCAAGAAACATTGAATATTTTGTTCGTCTTAGTAGAGGGACTTATCAGCAATGTAAATCCCTGACATAACTGAAGATCGAATTACATACACTGAAAGAAATGTTGTCGAACTAGACAGCTACCACAATATTTTACATATTAATGAAATCTTTTAGCTATTAGTTAATGAAATAGAAATATTCTCGTTAATATTTTAATTCATGCTTTTATAAAGGAAACTCCGCCTGTAGCCTCTCTGGGGTTACTGCCGGTTCCAAGCTCGGATAAAGAAGGAGGGTTGAGCATAGGGTTTGAGACCTTATTCCGTAAAAAACCAATTCACTAAAAGAACGCTAACCGGAAAATAAAATAGTTCAAACCATTTAAACTCTGCCCTGGGAGTTAGAAGGTCATCATTTAGACGAGTTATGACGTTTCATGATGAAAGTCAACGTCCTTCGGAAATTCTATACAAGATTAAAATACTTGTATCAAACAATTAATTCTGTGTTCAAACTGATAAACATAAATATTTCAAATACTTTCTTCTTATAAGCAAATATTCATAGTGGCTACAAATGGAATCCATGACGTCTGTTTCGTCCGATTTGGAACTCGTCAGCTGGATGTGCTCATAAAAAATTTAATTAACCAAGTAAAGTCGAAATATTATAACCTTCAATTAAACAGCAACTTATTGACTGTTATTAGATTTATTCTTTATCACATATGTTTCTTGTCTAGAAAGTTCTTGTTTTCTATACTGATCCTGACTATCATTTCTAAGGTATGATATCAAGAAATGAAATGTTGACATTATCATTCAAAAAACCAGATTTAATACATAATAGAACGACATAGATTGACTTTAGATTATCCTTTATAGTAATAACATTTTAACCAATCTAATGTTTCTTTTTCTTTAAAGAACAATGATCATGAAATCCACATCTACTAATAACCCCTTCACAATCAATAATAGATGAATTTAAAATGACGTATATTGAACTATTTCAAATTAGCAAGATAACAATTACTAAGAGATATATGATTTTAACTCACCTAATACTGAATGATTTCAGTCTCTCAACCCATCCCATCTCACCACACCCCATCCACTCCTAGTGATTGACTAACAAACTAGAATATTCAAATAAAGCCTGACTGAATAGATAGTCGGTCGGTTCAGATAATTTTAATTTAAAAGTATCATTACAATGAAAGTTAATTAAATAGAGATAATTAATTAATAGTACTATAAAGAATTTACACTAATTTAGGGTATGTTTTGTTTTAGTATGGGATTATACATCAGTGATCATTCACAAACCTACTAAGTAACTGATCAAAGACTATTAGATTTTGGAAAATGTACATTATTTTAAGACGGATAAATTAATATTCATTGGTTGATCTTTTCAACTTCGTACAATTTGTAGTGAATGAAAACATACAAGTGCGGGACAACTGAATGTATTTAAATACAAGATTACAGAATATCTTAGTAAAATCTGAGACCCATACAGTAAATACTTCATTTGCAAAATGTCAATCATTCGTGTCAGACTTTATTGTTTCTTCGTTTCCACACCAATCATTCTCTGTTCTTGTTCTTTTTTCTCTAATCTTCTTAACCTTCTGTTGCCAGACATTTCACTTTCTATTGATGATACATACTAGTTATATTTATCGACATCAGTAGCACACACCACAAGTTCACAATATAGCGTGATAATCATTCAATTTCATTAATTATATCTGATTTAC